ATTTAAATTCATCTCTGGGCTTAAAACAAACAGAGGACTTATTCCAAAACATGTCATTTCTTGGCTTTTTAGGTATGCCATAGAGTGCCTGAAGGAGAGCAAGTTTTCCTTTGCCTCTGATGTTTGGTCTTTCGCTGTGACCCTCTATGAGATTTTGACCAACTGTAATCATCGCCAAAGCCCTCCTTCGGTAAGTCTCGGTTTTATGTCAAGTTTTGTATTGTATTGTATTTTGTATTGTATTAAAAGTGCAATCAGTGCAATCATGTTCGGTTTTTACATAAAGAAATGAATGGCACAGTTTCCAAATACACTACTGTTCAAAAGTTTGGGGTCGGTAGAATTTTTTTTATGTTTTTGTAAAAAGTTTCTTCTGCTCACCAAGCCTGCATTTATTTGATCAAAAATACAATAAAAACAGTAATGTTGTGAACTATTATTACAATTTAAAATAATTGTTTTCTATTTTAATATATTTTGAAATGTAATTTATTCGTGTGATCAAAGCTGAATCTTCAGCATCATTCCTCCAGTCTTCAGTGTCGCATGATCCTTCAGAAATCACTCTAATATGATGATTTGCTGCTCAAGAAACATTTCTTGTTGTTGTTATTATCAACAATTTTAAAATTTCAATTTTATTGACGTGTATAGTATGAGACAGAGAAAAACTAGGGATGTACCGATATGAAAATTTTGGCCGATAACGATAATTCTTCATATTTGAAAGCCGATAACAGACATTTACATCGATAGTCTGGCGTTATAATTTATTTGCTTTTGGTGTACTGTGGAGTGGGTAAAACCGAACGATTCCTAGGACCATTTTTCCTGCAGACAAAATTCGCGCTGGCGCGACCACCACAACGTTGCGCAACATCAAATGGCAAGCGTAATGAAAGCGTAACGAAACTGCGCTACTCATTATATTGTGCTTCACGGACCGTTTATCAGTTCGGACCAGCAACATCTGTGCAGCGCGAGATCAAGCGACACTGTGCTAAGAGATTCAAATTTCTCCGTTATTAACCGTAGATCTCTATTAGATAAAACAGCGCTGACGTGGGAACCAGGAGAAACATTGTGCCGTGAATGAACATGGATTTAATGTTAAACTTCAAAATTCAAATATTATATAAATATATATTTAAATGTTATTTTTAATGTGATTACCAACACATTATTTGTTCATCCTTCAAAGATGACCCCCATTTATAAACCTGAAAGTTTCAAGATGTAGGAAAACTCAAACTTATTTAAAAATAGTTTTTCTTTTAATAAATAGGACATTTCTCTGGCATTTCTTTCTTTTTGCTGTATCGTATCGAACCGCACATTTTGTGAACTGTTACACCCCTAATGTATATATATATTCTCATTATTTTGTTATACACTTTTAAAACATTTTTATTTTTTATTTAAATGCCGGCCGGGTATTTTAAGTTGAGGTGCTATTTGTTTTTATATTAGACTTTTTTTTTTATTGACTTGCACTGAAGTCCAAAAGTGAAGATTTTATGTTATTTATTACTTGATTGTTCAAGCTACCTCACAGAAGTGCTCTGTTTGTTAACAGAGTTGTTGAATGTTAAAATAAGGTGAATTAAATAAAAAATAAGGAACATCCTGGATCTGTTTTTTCTCTCTTCTTTATTCTTTTTTTATGTATTATATAAGTATCGGATCAGGACTCGGTATCGGTAGATACTCAAAATCAAATGACTCGGACTCGAGGGCAAAAAAACCTGATCGGGACATCCCTAGTTTGTATGCGTACCGAACCGGAAGCCTCGTACCGAAACGGTTCAATAATTACGAATACATGTACCGTTACACTCCTAATTTACATATATCCGAGTCCTGATCGGGAGGTAACATCCGATTCCGATCGCCGCGTGATCGGGCCCGATTTCCGATCGCGTGATCGATCGGGACATCCCTAGGTAAAACTGTTTTTAAAGGCAGGCTAGCAGTTAGCGTTGACTCGCGCTAGCCTAGCACCGGCGACCTATGCAACTGGAACGACTGGATGAAAATTTTAGAAAACTGCCTCCACTGATAAATAACACTAAGGCTAACTTGGGAATGAGGCCCGATGTCCAAAATTCTGAACCCCCCCTTTAAGCTGATAGATGTATGACTTTGTTTTCCATAGAAATTCTTTGAGATGATGGGATTGGTCCATGGTCAGATGACTGTAGTTAAACTTATTAGCCTCCTGGAGAAAAACGAGAGATTGCCGTGCCCTCGGGACTGTCCCCGTGAGGTAGTGTGAAACTAAGCGGCACATATATTCATAAATACAAAAATTCTTACAAGTTTATTCGAACAACCTATGAATCGCAGCTTCATTGCCTGAATCCTTATTGCAGGTTTACTTACTGATGGAGCAATGCTGGGACTTCAACCCTGGGCAGCGTCCATCATTCAAATCCCTGGCTGATTCTCTTGAGGACATCCGGGGAACATACAGACTGCAACCGTCTGTGCAGCTCGCTCAGCTCAACCAAAGCTGACCTGACCTCTCTCTCTCTCTCTGCTGTTCTCACAGCCTGCAACCACAGCACTTCACTGTGAGCCTGACCACACTTGGCTGTTCATGTCATTGGCCCATATTTTAAGAAAAGAGGATGTTTTATACAAATGTTCTGTTTAAGGAAACCCACATACTATACCTCTTTTTCCACCGAAACTTTGTGCTGGAGTCAGCGCTCGGATCTGCAAACCTCCCCGGTGAGGTGAACAGTGACATAAAACTGTATACAGCTATTTATTTCAGATTGGATGGGGAAAATAAAGTGCTTAGCACAACTGCATGAGAAAAAATAGAAAAACTATTTTTTATATATATGGAGTGGAGCAATGGGAGGGGCTTGTTTATTTTGGGTCGGGATGTGCTTGTTTGGGTGTCAATTTTAAATATGAACAGTGTTTCTCAGAAATCGCTTACTGCACCTTTGTCTTGCTGTTAAACCGTAATTACCAAAGATTGCATAGTTGTGAACATTATTCATTCCTTAATCAAGGTAACTTTATTGTGTAAATACTCTGAGGTATTTTTGCTTGCTTTCTGCTTTTATTGTTAGAAAGCAAAGACTGTGACTTTTGGAAGGCCTTAAGAATATGAATTTACATGTTTACAGTACGATATAAATGCCGCTTTGAATGTTTTTCTTTTTTATTTATAATTTTTCCTTTTTTTCAAATGTGCAATTCTACTCATATTTTATGGCCTTTTGTACACCATCTTGTGTGAAATGCTATTGTCTTAATTGTCCCACTGAATGTATCTATAAAAACTCTTTTAATAAATGTAATTATTTAAAGTGTATACCAAAAATAAAAAAATTTGGGATGCATCTTGCTTTTAATAACTGGATCCTTTTGGATTTTCATTCAATCAGAAAGAGTTAGTCAAATTGATCTATTTTGTAAATGCCTGCAGATCTTGTGAAGGATTCATCCATGAATATGTTTTTGCTTCTTCTTTTGACCCTGTAATCAAAATCGCCTCTCTCTGGCGACGTATGCTCGACTTCTCCTGGTCCACTTAAACCACAACTGTGTGCAAGCTTATGTTCATTTTAAATGCAATGCTCACATCTAAAAAAAAATTCAGTCAACTAATGCTGCATAAAACTGACTCTGCAACCTGCAACGTTTTTTCAATAATCCGATATCACAATATGGAAGAAAAGATCTGTTGCTACTTCCATTTCAGCGTGACTTTGATGGTGCGCAGATGCGAGACCTGGTACTTTAGGCCAGCTCTTGATACCATGACAAGTTACAAACCTATAGCACATTTTCATAACAACTGTGAACCCCTATTATTGGGACCCATGCCGCTCTTCTCTCTAGTAATATGGCACATAGTTTTAGAGTTGAACCTTGACTAACTGGGGCTCAGGTCAGGAAGCAGACAGACTGGCTAAACCGACTCTGCTAGCTGTCTCACGTCACAGAAGTCAGATAAATCCCATCACATAGAGACTCTTTCACAATCTTAATTGTTGGAGATTTTAATATCCATGTACGCATCTATACATCTCTTTTACAGCACTTTGTTGCTCCTGTGTGCTTAAAGATGATTAAAGTAATGGTAATGTTAATTTGCTTTCGAGAGAAGAACTTCCCTCTCTCCATTCTTTCACCAGATGGAGTTTGGTTTCATTGCCACTGTCAACTCTTGCTTGCTTAGATGGGAACACTTCTATTCAACAACATTATTGATTTGACTGCACTGACACTATTGGATGAAAACTGAACTGAGATGGATGATGACATCACTGTTTTTCTGCAGAGTTGCTTTATAGATGAAATGACCTAATTTAATGACGATCTTTGCAATCAACATTGAACTGACTTCAGCTGAACCATTTTCCTGTTATCACTGTAAAACTGATTTGAAACAATCTTGTATAAAGCACTATATAAATAAAGGTGACTTGACATGACCATGAGGCCCATTGGGTGCTTCTAGTCTGATTTGGCAACCGATCCCCTTTTTATGTTATCATCCTCATTGTAAAAAAAAAACAGACGACTGAAAAAGAATTACCTATCAGGGCTTGCTAACATCAGGGTATTTACAAAAACAACAACAGTGCTCTACTACAGTCCAGAGGATGTCTGTAATAGCCTAGACTAAGTGTCTATTCTTTGGTTTGGTTTGAATTGCATTGTATGTTTAGGACAATATCTTACAGACTGTAGATTTGCACATTACAATGTACAGGCTGTGCATTTGACATGTTATCAGGTATTTAAACGTTTTAATACAAAGAGTAAAATAATGATGAAAAAGCAAAAACGAGAATAATAAAACAAAGACAATTTGATTATTTTTGTGTATTTTAAATAATGGTGGTATCTGGCAACCCACCTGTTGTGTGTTCAAATTTGAGACGTGACTCGTTGGCCCCGCCCCTCAAGCCGAAAAAGAAAAACGCATTTCGCCTCGACCAATCAGCATGCGAGTTCCTCGCATGTGTGTATTGTTTAAACTGGCCAAAGCCAACGAGCACTGCGAGCACACAAACTTCCACACGGAGACATGGCGGCCGTAGTGTCCGTTAGCTCAGCTGCCAAAGACGAGAAATCCTTCACTGGTGCCAATTTTGCCCCGAGTCCACTCTATACAGGTTACGACCAAACAGGCGAACCTGAAAACTGGGAGTATGAAACTGGCAAACAAGTTGAATCGGACGCCGTCGGTGAAGGTTCACCGGCGGGTAGCGACTGTTCGCGACGGCTCGATGATGAACTGACGGCCCTCAGTCCAGAAGAGATTGCCAGCCGTTTGGAAAGAACGAGAAGAGAGTTTTATAATCGGCGAAAAATAATAATAAAGAACCTCCCAGCCGACATCAGCAATCAGGTTTGTACATCAAACAATAGTTTTATGTAACTTGGTGGACTTTTGGACGGGCATCCCAAGCTCGATCCAACAACCGTTTCGGTTATCGCTGACTCAGTAAGTTACGTTAGTTAATGGACTAGATTTTTACAGTGTTTTGATGTGTGTCAATGTGAATGCGGATGGTCAGTGTTTCAGAGAGTTGCTTTGACCACACCGAACCTCGTGTCATCGCAGCCATTAAAGAGCCACGGGAGAGTAACGGGATGGAGTCCAATGGGAGTTGTGTAACGTTAACTGTATTGAAATGTTGCTTGACTGTTCATTTGATTTAAGGCAAGCTGAATGCCCGGATGGTTATACTCAGGCACAGCTTGTGTAACGTTAATTAATGTTATATGTTCGCTGCTTCCTTTCAATATTGAATATTTCTATAACAACTCTCAAAATCTGACGCTTAACGTTAAATCTAAAAATATTGGCCATTTCCATGAAGTTTCTTATCACGAATGTTACTGTACAAACTGTTGTTTACCAGAGGCTGGCAAGCAGTTTTGACGCTTAAAACAAATTACTATTATGTTTTTGTCTATTTTATTAATGAGCAGTGACTAGTACCTTTCATTTTCACTAGTGCTTAGGCCTATTTATTAGATACCACTAACGTTACTCAATTCAGGAGCAGTGTTGGGTAAGTTACTCAACAAAAAACAAAACAAAAAACTGATTCATTACTAGCTGCTAATTACACCTTCAACAGTGTAATTAGATTACTGTACTAATTACATTCTAAAAAGTATTGGATTATTTATTACTAATTACTTTCTAAATCCCATATCAACCTCGACCAGTTGAACAATACAAGGATAGACACGAAACTGCTCTTTTAATTCTTTCAAATAAACAATATATAATTGCATAAATTGTTCTTGAACTGACCAAAGTGTGTTAAGGGAGACGGTTACCCTAAACTCTGATGTTAAATCCACTATTGTTTCATATATAATTGTTCTGTGTTGTCTAAACAGTATTTAGCTTTACATCAGAAGTCACTAAACTACTGATAAAGCGTAGTCCCTTTTCTTTTTCAAGGGAAAGGTAATTAATTACTCCCAACACAGTTCAGGAGTACTGGATGACACTAGAATCTGTGTGGTAAAAGCATCTCTCCGAAACCCTGATCATCCGCCTTAACATTGACACAGCAGATTCAATTTCTGACACCAAAGTTCATACGGGTCAGTTGGTTCTTGTTCTTTGTGCATGTGGTTCTCTTAGGAAAATGCTTGATTCATGGGGAAAACGTTTGTGTGCGTGCGCGCGAGCCTCTGGTATTGTCCAGATAGGAATGGGAGCAGCGAGGACGACAAAGGACAGAAGGCGCTGAAACAAAACGTTTTGCTTTCACTGAAACTAAAAGAAAGTGCTGGTTCATAGTATGGTAACATGTAGGAAGCCTGAAAGTAAAAGTGGAAAGCATTGTGAAAAGTCGTTTATAAATCCCTCAATCATAACCACTGAAAGCCAATTATTTGTGACCCTTCAAAATGAGTCGTGGGAATAGAGATGAGAGCTGAGCTATTCGATTAGTTATGAATCTATTGTATGACTTTTGTTGCGCATGCAAAATGGATACTGTGATTGTTCGATGAATGAAAGTCTTCCATTGTGGTGACAATGTGTTTTCTTTTTTTTCTTTTCTATTGTCTTTCTTTAGGAGGTGCATGAGCTGTTAAGCAACTATGATTTGAAGTACTGCTTTGTGGACAAGTACAAAGGGACAGGTGTGTATGACTCATTATATTATCATGTGAATGCACTTTTTTTTCTTTTTTTTTTTTTTTTTTTTTTTGATATTATTGGCAGCATTTTACATCATTCTGAGTCATCATTTAAGTCTTTATTTAGCATCAGGTGTTCAGGATTTTAGCTGTGCTTTAAAGGTAGCACTGCTATTTTGTGAACCCTAAATATGAAACAACTTAACATGCCCTTTGCAGATTGTTTTGGTCTTAGGCATCCTATTTATTTTTGTTTTTTAACTTTGTTTCTTAAAAATGTTTTTTTTTTTTTTTTTTTTTTTTTTTTTAGCAAAGATGCTTTGAATTTATGATAAATGACAGTAAAGAGATTTATAATGTTACAAGTTTCTATTTCTTTTTGTTTAAAAAAGGTGAAGAATCCTAAAAAGAAAATGTATCGCAGTTTTCACAAAATATGAAGCAGCACAACTGTTTTATAAACATTGATAATAATAAATGTGTCTTGAGCATCAAATCAGCATATTAGAATAATTTCTGAAGGATCATGTGTCACTGAATGCTATGAAATGCTTAAAAATAATTTTTAAATATTAATATTTTATTCCTGTGCTATATATTTTTTATATATATATATATATATATATATGTATATACAGTGAGGAAAATAAGTATTTGAACACCCTGCTATTTTGCAAGTTCTCCCACTTAGAAGCAGGGATGGAAATTAAATTTTTTGTCCACCGGCCACTGTGGGTGGTGGATTTCAAAATCTACCAGCCACTCAATGTTTTTACCAGCCACTTTCTTGTTTTTAACCGACAATGTGTAACTGCTTGTGGAAATTAATACTACAAGATCTACAATACTTAACCAGTTTATTTAATCTCAAGTCTCAATGAAATGCTGACATTTTCTCTTTCTCTTTTATACACACACAAACCATGAACTGATATACATTTCGTTAAATGAGTAGGGCAGATTAAACAAAAAACTGAACCGATGCTAAACCGCACTCTATGCTGGAGGTTGCTCTCTCTGCGAGAGTAGGCTACCGTAAAACTTCAAATAATAGCCAAGTCCTAATAGACGCCTGTCTCTTTTACACGTCTGGTGTGGCGACAGGTTTGGGTAAATAAAGGCTTTTTTAGTTTCGGGTTGTATTTAATCTTCTAAAAACCCGTCAGATCGTCCGCTTTTTGGTGCCGCCAAAGCCTTTTTTGATCGGTGAGTGAGGTAGAATAGAATGACTGCTGCGCCTGACAGGGCGCAAACGAGCAGAGCAAGAGCCCCGGCCGCGCGCGCGCACTATCACGTCTTCAGACAACACGAGCGCTGTCTTGCTCTCTCTCCCTCGCGCATATTAATCAAAATCAATTGACACGATAGTAAAAGGTCGGAAGACCGCAGTTTCACGTGGAGCATTTGGAAATTTTTACGTGATTAGAGACTCTAGGAACAACATCTCAACACTAAATTATAAAGGCCTGTCTCAAATACAAGCCAGTGCAGTTCGACGATTTGGGAAAATAAAAAAAGCCCAGGCTATTATTTGAAGATTTACGGTATGCCTGTTCTGTCATATTTACATCATGCGCTCACGGCTAGCTCTTTACGACACAAGAGAGCTACCCCGCCCTAAAAATACACCATGCGCTTGCGGGCCGAGTCGCGACTAACTGCAAACCGCCTCTCGCGCTCCCACGTTTTCTTCCCTCGTCGAGCCTCGACGGAAGAAGCGCGCGGGTGTTGAAGGTGTGCCTCCTCTAAAAGTGTCCGTCGTTCGGGTGAAACAGTATGCTATTTGTATTTACCCGCCACGGTGGCCGGTAGGTGAAGCGAGTTTACCCGCCACAGCACAAAATCACCCGCATTTGGCTGGTGGCGGGTGCTAATTTCCATCCCTGCTTAGAAGTCATGGAGGGGTCTGAAATTGTCATCGTAGGTGCATGTCCACTATGAGACATAATCTAAAAAAATATCCAGAAATCACAATATATGATTTTTTAAACTATTTATTTGTATGATACAGCTGCAAATAAGTATTTGAACACCTGTCTATCAGCTAGAATTCTGACCCTCAAAGACCTGTTAGTCTGCCTTAGGAATGGCTCGATACCACAATTTTGGCTTCGGTACGATACCAGAACCTAATACCTCGGTATCGATACTAAATCGATACCACAGGTTAAAAAAAAACGGTCTCAAAATTTAAGTGACACTTAAAAAACACTGCTTGAAATTCTCCACTACCAAATGTGCAAAGAAAAGGTATCAAAATGTAAAAAATAATAATTCAGTCAGGGAACATACAGTAGGTTAAATTTTGATTTTGAAAAAAAAAAACCCCACTGAAATTATACAATTAAAATAGGTTAATATCTATAATAATAGATTCACATATAATAATAATAATAATAGAATAATGAAATGACATGTAAACCATTAGCTGTCATGCATCAACAGAGAATTATCAACATTTATTGCATTTATTCATCTTGGTTTGGTTACTGTTTGGGTTCATATTAATGCAGTGCATAAAGTAATGTTAACATGCTAAACATGTATTAGTATATTTAATTTTCTAGGGCATTTAATTACTGATTGATATAGATTAATAAATGCTATAATACTGTTAGGTCAGGTTACCTAATGAATGTTGACAAATGTAGCTTAATTGTAATATTAGTAATATATTCTCTCTCTTAATATATTCTCTCTCTCTCTCTCTCTCTCTCTCTCTCTCTCTCTCTCTCTCTCTCTCTCTCTCTCTCTCTCTCTCTCTCTCTCTCTCTCTCTCTCTCTCTCTCTCTCTCTCTCTCTCTCTCTCTCTCTCTCTCTCTCTCTCTCTCTCTCTCTCTCTCTCTCTCTCTCTCTCTCTCTCTCTCTCTCTCTCTCTCTCTGCACTAAATATGCCATTCATTTTACTATCACTAATACTAAAATTAATATTCAAATTTTTATTCTTTATTCAGTCATTAATATATGTTTGTTTGAAAGTGCAAAAATGATGAGAGAGACCTAAACTTAATTGGTTCTAGCGTGTCATGCAAGCAGATTTGAGCTTTCGTGTTTACCGTATCATATATGATAAGCTCTTATGTATGTGCGCTGTTCAGTGTTCAATAAAAGTCTAAATTAAATCAGTTGAATGATGGACTAACCTGTCGATCTCTGAACTCTTTGAACAAGTCAAGATGAGCAACTGACAAGTCAAGTGCTAGGCAGATTTGATGTGTTCATTGCCTCCCCGTTTGCAGAGTGGTGCATTGAGATCTGTTTCTTTACTTTTCTCATTACATTTGTAGGCAAAGTAATGCCTTAATTCACTCATACTGCTCTCTCTTTATTAATTTCGTGCGTGTAGAAATTCAAATGAGCTTCGTTTGATCCATCGTCTTCCTCCGTTGTCACCGTTTGCCGGTTTCGCATGACCCGCGTCAGTTTAGGTAGCGCCCTGCCGCCTAGCGGTGAACTTCGAAACAGCAGCGCATCAAATACCGAATTGAACAAAATGATGATATTGTACCGTTTGAAATATAATATATACCGGTATTTTTGCAGTACCAGTATACCGCGCATCCCTAGTCTGCCTTTAAAATGTCCACCTCCACTCCACTTATTATCCTAAATTAGATGCACCTGTTTGAGGTCGTTAGCTGCATAAAGACACCTGTCCACCCCATACAATCAGTAAGAATCCAACTACTAACATGGCCAAGACCAAAGAGCGGTCCAAAGACACTAGAGACAAAATTGTATACCTCCACAAGGCTGGAAAGGGCTACGGGGAAATTGCCAAGCAGCTTGGTGAAAAAAGGTCCACTGTTGGAGCAATCATTAGAAAATGGAACAAGCTAAACATGACTGTCAATCTCCCTCAGACTGGGGCTCCATGCAAGATCTCACCTCGTGGGGTCTCAATGATCCTAAGAAAGGTGAGAAATCAGCCCAGAACTACACGGGAGGAGCTGGTCAATGACCTGAAAAGAGCTGGGACCACCGTTTCCAAGGTTACTGTTGGTAATACATTAAGACGTCATGGTTTGAAATCACGGAAGGTTGCCCTGCTTAAACCAGCACATGTCAAGTCCCGTCTTAAGTTTGCCGATGATCCAGAGGAGTCATGGGAGAAAGTCATGTGGTCAGATGAGATCAAAATAGAACTTTTTGGTCATAATTCCACTCGCCGTGTTTGGAGGAAGAAGAATGATGATGAGTACCATCCCAAGAACACCATCCCTACTGTGAAGCATGGGGGTGTTTTTCTGCACATGGGACAGGGCGACTGCACTGTATTAAGGAGAGGATGACCGGGGCCATGTATTGCGAGATTTTGAAGAACAACCTCCTTCCCTCAGTTAGAGCATTGAAGATGGGTCGAGGCTGGGTCTTCCAACATGACCATGACCCGAAGCACACAGCCAGGATTACCAATGAGTGGCTCTGTAAGAAGCATATCAAGGTTCTGGCGTGGCCTAGCCAGTCTCCAGACCTAAACCCAATAGAGAATCTTTGGAGGGATCTCAAACTCTGACTGATCTAGAGAAGATCTGTGTGGAGGAGTGGGCCAAAATCCCTCCTCCAGTGTGTCCCATCCCTCCAAACCTGGTGAAAAACTACAGGAAACGTTTGACCTCTGTAATTGCAAACAAAGGCTACTGTACCAAATATTAACATTGATTTTCTCAGGTGTTCAAATACTTATTTGCAGCTGTATCATACAAATAAATAGTTAAAAAATCATACATTGTGATTTCTGGATTTAAAAAAAAAAAAATTATGTCTCTCACAGTGGACATGCACCTACGATGACAATTTCAGACCCCTCCATAATTTCTAAGTGGGAGAACTTGCAAAATAGCAGGGTGTTCAAAAACTTATTTTCCTCACTATATATATATATACATAGTAGTATATATATTACTACTACAGTTTATCTAAATTATTTTTTTTTTACCACTTTCTAATCTCTAATTTTTTAATCTGTCTAAATCTTGTCTAAACATTTCCTATGATTGCCGTTCCTCATTTTCCCTGTTTTTCCCATTCAAGCCTTTGTGACGCTACTGAACGGTGAGCAGGCCCAGTTTGCGATAAAGGAATTTCACCAGTATGTTCTCCGTGACCGTGAGATCTCTGTGCAGCTGCAGCCGACGGACGCTCTGCTATGCATCGCCAACCTTCCCAGGGCTTTCACCCAGCAACAGTTTGAGGAGCTCGTTCGTCCCTTTGGAAACATTGAGCGCTGCTTCCTGGTGCACAGTTCTGCCACGGGCCACTCGAAGGCCTATGGCTTTGTGGAGTACATGAAGAAGGACTCAGCAGCCAGGGCGAAGTCAGAGCTGCTGGGGAAGCAGCTTGGGTCACGTATGCTGTACGTGCATTGGACAGAGGTTGGATCGCTCACGTATCCCATGCTGCACTCGCGCTGCCTCTGTGTGGACCGACTACCTCAAAACATCCTCACCGCTCAGGATCTCTGCAGTGTGTTGACTGACACGCACGCTCCTATATTCTGCCAGGTTGGTATGAGCACTTTTGACCCTTACTTCAAGTGTGGAAGTAAGAGTTTCACACAGTGTGTTTTTGGTTTCCATTGCGCTCTTTTTCCACTTTTCTATGCTAATGTGCGCTAGATGTGCTTTTCTCCAAAGAAATTGATTTCAAGGGATATTATTGTAGTTCTGTATTATTATTATTATTATTATTATTAGAGATGCACCGATACTTAGGAAGCTAAGGCGGGACATATTGAATGGCTCCTCGCCCTTTTCATATATCGCCGACGCCAATAGCGTTTAGTTTACCTCACAAACTGCAAGTCGTACTTGACAGCACAATGGACGCGAATCCGAGCGCTGATGAAACGTTGGATTCAATAGTAGACGTGTGAATAAATCCTAGCCATTTCATTCTTAACCAATGTACAGTTGGAAAACAGCGGGACCCTTTAGATTCTAGGGAGCATTTGCTTGGACAGAAGATGTGATGTGAAGCTGAAGTCCGCGGTGATGTCATAAAAATCCGTGCTCCATTTTAGCGGAAGTGAGAGACTGTACGTTGTGAATGCTTATATCTCCTAAGTGTGGATTTTGTCATTGTTGTGGAACACACCAGCTTATTCATAACCTTAAGGCTAACATATTCACACTAAAAGCTAAAAATCTTACATTTTGATTTCAGGGGGCCTTTAAACTATTAAAGGAACCCTCTCATTTGGTACATTACTATAATATTTGAGGTTAAAATTAACAACAGAAGCCAAAACTATTTTATTCAACTTTATTTTTAGATATGATAATTACTCAAATAAAAACTGAAATGTTTGTATACATTTGTATGAAAATTGGATAAGATGTTAATGCAAAGATAAGTGACATAGCCTAGTTCACTAGCTTCACTATTGTTTTATTGAGGCCTTTCTGCCCCAGAAACACAGAGCGATTAAATGAGACGTGATATGTTTTGGAAAGTTGTACTGTATATTTGAACTCCATTTGATCATGCATGATTTTTCATGCAATTATTGCCCGTACATTGGTGCACTCCTAATTATTAGTAAAGATAGTATAATGTGCAATAAGAAATGTATAAAGGAAGAAGGGTCAATTTTGTTTGTCATTTATATGTACTCACTAAAGCGGCAGATGGCAAGATATTGTAATCAACATGCCATTTAGTTATTTCTCCAGTGCTGGAGTTTTAATTTAAAATCATGGTTGTCATGTTTCCATATGCTCCATAGCTGTTATTTACCTGGTGGAAGATTATCTGCTTTCTGCAGTATTATGGTAATAAATCTACAGTGCCTGCGATATATGAAAAACTAACAGAAATATTAAGCTAATGTGGCTGATCGCACTGAAGATAGGATCTGTCTTCAGCCTTTTGTGAACAGAAATGGAGCAGAGCACTGTAAAAAAAAAAAAAAAAAAAAAAAGCAAATGTTGAGGAGAGGTGAACCTAAGTGATCATATTTTTGCCTGGCAGATGGCAAAAATAAGAAAATTAAGATGTTCTACAAATCAGGTTAAAGTGAAACTGCACGATTTGGTTTGCCATCACTTGTCCACTAGCTAGAAATCCCTTGTTTTTGATGTAACAAATTGTTTTCCCGTACTTTTCAGTGTCAAACTTCTAAATTTCCACGTGTTCTGGTCCTCTTACTGCAAAATGTTAATTTAAAAGTGGTTTTATTCCAGCTTCTCTACTGACATTTATCCATTCCAGATCATACACATCGTAATAAGTCTGCGCCTTTAGACGAAAATCTTTGTTAACATTAGCTCAAATGTTGTGCAGTAGAAATAGGCTACAGTCAAGATCTTAAAGAGACCACCAAGTGTTTATTTAATTGTATTTAGAAAATGAGATGTCTTAAGGCTACTGTAGGCCATCTTTCCCAAATAAGGCAGAGTAACATAAAATTATTCCAAACAAAGAGGGGTCAGGCAGTAGGCTTGCCGCGATAGACGGTGTTGACGGTGTTACCGGTTTTAAGCGCCATCACCGGTGACCTCACTTTCCCACCGTGACACCGCGATGTCTTGACTTTTTAAAGTATTCGTTTTTGCTAAAATATTTATTTGAATTAATTAAAAATAATAATCAATTATTTAGTTCAGAAGAGAGCATACATTATAATTTAAAACTGAACTGCGCAGTGCGTGCAAAGAGCCAGTCATGTCACAGATCAGCAAGCATCAGGAGTCAAATTCCATTTAGCACGTGTGGAGATTTTGTATTCGTCTCTTAGACCCCATTTACACCTGGTATTAAAATGAGATCTGTATCCAGATAAGTTATCCGGATAATAAGTGTTCTGATCTTACCGATTCCATTTACACCTGGCCACATAAATGTGTTTTTGCAAAACGGATATAAATCCGACTTCAACTCCCGCGCTATGATTTAATGGATTGCACGCCACCGAAAGCAACAGAGGTGAGCTGCATTTTATTGATCATCAGCTCATTTCAAAATCAAAGACAGCAATAAGAAAAAGTGGCAACAGCCCTGGTAAGATAATTTCGTTTTTTTACTTGAAGATGATTGTGTGTTAAGCGTCTGTGACTTACTTTCACTTTTATTTGCGATGTTTGCACGTTGGCTTGATGAATAGACGCTCAGCTGCTCATCTGGGGTAATGCGTGTTGCAGTAGCGTCGTCATATCTGACATGAAATAGCCTATAGCCTCTAACACTCTCACACGTTTATTTTTTTTAGCATTTTTGGGAGGAGTAAAATATACATATGTGGTTTCAACAACCAGATTGCGTTTACACCTAGTAAAGATCCGAACACAATGCAGCCAGACTACCTCCAGATGTGGTCAGGCAGATCCGATCACAACGTATTTAGCCTACACCTTGCATTAACATACGGTTTTTATTATCTGGATAACTTATCTGGATACAGATTGCATTTTAATACCAGGTGTAAATGGGGTCTTATTTATTTGGTTTTATCTTATTTAAACTTTGTGTAATTTATTTAGGCCTATTTTATTTTCTTATTCGTTAATAAACGTTTTATGGTTCTTATTTGTTTGGGCCCAGTTTGCCGATTTTCACTTTTTTCAGCCTATGCATGGGGTTATTTTTATTCGTTCGTTATGCTAATAAAAGTTATGTCTATAAATAAAAGTTTTATTATCAGCGAGTTGTTGTTTTTTTGTCCATTCAAGCAATTGACGCTTATTTCGAAAGTGAAAGTATAACGCGCACGCATTTAAAAGCTATTTAACTCCCCCGCCCCGCCCCCCACGGTGACACCGGGATTACCGGTGTTGTCACACGTCGATTAACCGGTGGTAAAATTTCCTCACCGCCGCAATCCTATCAGGCAGACAAACACATCAGATCAGTTTAATGGGAGGGGATCAAGTTACACTTAGACATACTTGGAAATTGTAGCCTCTTAATACACCGACTACATTTACTAATTGGCAACAAAATGTACAACTTGTTACACCAAAACTGGCTACTGACAAAAGGACAAAACTATGGCAAGTTTTTTTTATGTTATTATTATGAACATCTGATGTAGTTGAGCAGAATGCTCTTTTATGAAGAGACTTCATTTAAGGACATATTTAATGAGATTATGCCTGAAAAGGTTTTGGATTTTTTTTATCATATGTTAATTTAAAAATATATATTGTATAATATGACTTGTTGTTTATATTTGTTTTGTTTTATTGTATTTATATGATATTTGTATTTTTATAATTGAATTTTTGCCATGAAAATAGCTTTGAATGCTGACATGGCATTAAATAAAATAAACTGAATTTGATGTAGTTGAGGAACCAACTACATCAAAAAAAAAACAAAAAAAACACCACCACTTTAGAAACGTCTCGCGGCACGGATGTACCAATACAAATAAATAAAACATCTCCAGTTAACTAGCAGAGCACTCATTTTGTTCATTTGTTAAATAAGAGGCGATCTAGCGCTGAAATGTTTTTTTTATTTATCAAGTGAATGAATGATCAAAGTGCTTGTTGCCGCAGCGATCAGTGGTGCGGATACTGTGTTCTCTTGTGGCTCGCGCGGTGCACGGTCTTCACTCGGACGCGCGCTTCAATCCGTTGAGAGACTCCTTATTCATTCCGGTGAAGGAAAACTCATGTTGCCACTGCCAAGCTCTGCTGTTGTGTGCCTGTGCGCCGTGCATGCAGGTGGGAAAAAGTCGCGCAAGTAATTTACGTCACATGATCGGGTTTTTTTGATCGGCGCTTTTGGGGTTCGCCAATCATTCTATTTGTAGCCAATATCGACCGATCATGATCGGCGTCCGATCAATCGGAACATCCCTATCTTTTAGTCCTGACTATATTAAAGGATTATTCCGGTATTTAACACTTTGAGTCTATTTTGTAGTTTGTTTTGGATGAACTAGAGTGGTGGACTTAGAAATTTTGACGATGGGTCCTGTCTCGACTTTTTGACTATTTTAGAATCGCTTCAGAGTGGATGTCTATGGGCATGCTCAAACATGTCCTTAAAACAACCCTTAACGTTCGCTTTCAAAACTGTGCAACTCACCGAGTGGTTAGTGGTGTTCGTTGATGTTCCAAAACAAGTAGCGTAGCGAAATACAGTTTCTGTCGTGTTTTATTTGCCATTTTTTAAAATCGCATTGATGTCTGCTGGAGGACTCAGTGCTCGTTGATATTACTGCGCTACCGGAAACGGAAAGGGGTCTGTTTACATTTGGTTGTGGTCTTTTCGCTCGGTTCTCCGTCTCTCAGAAGGCTAGCGTGAGCTGAGCAACTGCGGCAAAGTGGTTGTCGCCATCAAGTGGTCGGGAGTGTGCTAACGCTTCAGACTCAAATATCGAGCGGAAGTTTATACGCGGTTGTGAGGTATCTGAAAAAATAGTTCCACTATAGCAAATAACACGGATTGAAAGCATACATTGCGCCGATATATTAGTTTCTAATCATCAACAAACACCACTAACCACTCGGTGAGTTGCACAGTTTTGAAAACGAACGTTAAGGGTTGTTTTAAG